TAGAGAAGAGTTTCGCAATGTGGTATGTATCTTATTCGGCGTGTCATATCGCAGTGTGCTGACGGTTGCAGATGACAAACTGGAGACTCATTCCCCATGTTTTACTCACTATCAGTGCTCTCGCACCCGCTACAACGATGAGTTCTTACTCGCCAAGCCTTGTGAAGTCCTTCGGTTATGAGAGACTCAAGTCCAATGCTCTTGTGTCAATTGGATCCTGGGCCCTTGTTGTGACCAACCTGTTATGGGGTTATCTGGGGTAAGAAACACAATTCATCATTCGAGACCTTGTGCTAACTCGTTCCAGTGATAAACTTCAAATGCGTGGTCCTCTTGTTGCGTTTGGAATCTTCATGTTTTGGGCATTCACAGTACGTAACTCATTTCTAATCTTACTCATGCATTGCTGACTCGTTAGATCGCTGATCGGGTCATGGTGTTTTCACCCGATGGACATACACGATTCGCTCTGTTGACATTAACTCATGCTTTCGGATGGCAATGGCGTAAGTTGAACCAAATAGTAGATAGATTCACATTGTACTGATATTCTCTTAGATCCCCTGAATGGTTCTTGGATGGCTCTCAACGCTGGTTCCGCTGGAGAGAGGTCCATCACCATGGCCATCCTCATCATGTCAGCCAACACATCTGGCATTATTGGAAGCCAACTCTTCCAAGAGCATGATGCTCCTCTTTACAAGACAGGCTGGACTGCTATCATGGCTCTGGCCTCGGTTGGTCTTGTTATGGCTGTCATTGCGAACTTGCAGTACTTTTTCCTCAATGGCCGACGGATAGGTCGCCGGGGATTAAAGTATAGTCCTTAATTGAGTGAAAGAATATTCACGTGCTAGCCAGGTCACTGCGTTTGGTTGGTAGTGGAAGTTTAGGAACACGACTGTGAACTTTTGATGTATTATTAGAGAATATCATTAGGGAATCATAGACGAGAGAACAATTCTGTGTTTACTTGGCCTCCTGCTTGGCGTCCTTCTTGGCCTCACCAGCAATCTCTTGGGCCTTCTCAGACTTCTTCTCCAGCACCTGTCGCAGTTCCTCAACGGTCTCCTTGAACAGCTTCTCACCCTCTTCCTTGTGCTTGTCCGCAACCTCGCTCAACTGCTGCAGCTTCTCCATGACCTCGCTACCGTTAGGGATCTCCTTGATGTACTTCTCAATATCGACCCAGCCGCCAGTGAGCTCGTTGCCCTTGGACTTGACCTTCTCAGTCGCATCCTTGACGTACTTTTCCAGGTCGCCTAGGTCACCAGAGTCGACGGCGGACTTGGCACGCTTGAACAGCTCGGCGGTGTTACCCTCCCTCAAAGCGTCGGCGTTCTTCTCAATAAGCTCCTTGACCTTAGGGTTCTTGTCAAGGTAGGGCTTAGCCTCCTCAAGACCCTTCTTCCAGGCCTGGTCGCCGAGCTTCTTGATCTGCTCCACCTTCTCCTCGATGAGCTTGCGGGCCTTGCTTATGCTGGCGGCGCTGAACCCTCCAGCAAATATGTCCTTGACCTGCTTCCAAGTCTCGTCGACCTGCTTCTTAGCCTCAGGGCCATACTTGTCACCAAGCTCCTTAAGCTGATCGACGTTGCTGCCAAGCTTCTCCTTGACCTGGGGGTGGTTGTCGATGATGTCGCCGATGGCATCACCAGCGAGGTTGGCGACCTTCTTAGTGAGATCGGCGAGGACGTCGTAGGCCTTTGAAGCAGTCTCGAGGCTCAGGCCAGACTTGGAAAGATCTTGGAACTGCTTGTAAGCATCGTTGACGAGCTTGTCGGCCTCATCCTTGTTGTTCTCCCGAACCTTTTCCCAGTCCTTGAAGGCAGCATCAACGTAGGCACGACCACCTGGAATCCATCCAACGTAGGAGTAAGCAAACTCCTTGATGTAGTTCACAGCCTGATCGGCGTCGGGAGTGTTCTTCTGGAGCTTCTTTGCGGCGGCCTCATATTTTTGCGCGGCCTCCTTGGCAGCTTTGTTGATACCTGAAGCGGCACGGCCAGCGGGTGTGTAAGAGTAGATGCCGTAGAAGATGGCTGAGCCGACAAAACCACCAGCGATACCGGAGGCGAGATGAGCACTGCTCGATGAAGATGAGGCTGTAGATTGGAAGCGGACTTGGCGAGAAGTACGAGAAGCACGTGCGGCACGAGGCACGGTTGATCGAATGAGAGGGCGAGCAGGAAGCATAGTGTCGGATTAGTTGTTATGAGAGGGAGAATGGAGAATCAGATTGTGTTGAGGAAGGGGAAATATGTGAGAATGAGGGGAAGAAAGGGTAGAAGATGGCATTTTGAGGGTGAGTAAATAACTTTTTTTGCAATTCGCCTTAGGAATGACGTATTCATACGATCACGACGCAAACAAACCACAAGCTGGAGCTTCAGGACCAAAGCTCCGGAAACGTGACGTCAATGACGCTCATATGCGGACATTGCGGGGTGAGTTTGGCGGTCCCCATGTGAGACCAAGACAGTCCAATTGGCCAATTGCGTTCCATGTCTCCAAACTCAATCCGTGCTCAAGATCGAGATCCTTGTGCAGTTCCTGGTTTGATCCTCGGGTCTAGAGCTGAAGATGATCAGGGGCGCTTTCGTTTGGTGCTGCTTTACGGGAAGAGCCGCGGATGTTACGTCACGACTACCTAAGACAACAGCTACACTAAGAAGGGGAAACAAGAAAACCTAGAACCTCGGTTTGGAATGAGGAAAATACTTGTGTAAGTGTGGGATATTCTAGCAAGTCTCAATACTAGTTTATTTTGGCACCCAGACTCAACGTAAGTAGTTTTTCTTACTCCCTGGGGACTAATAACCAAGCTCACCCAGCACCAAGCTCAGCTACCAAGGTCTACCAAGGTCTACCAAGGTTTCCATCGGCAGATCGGGTACACGACAAATAGCCGCTTATTCAGGTCTAATGAGTTTGACACTGACTCTTTGAGTATTTCTCCCTTGACAGATAATGCTTACTTAGTAGGTATAACCTTGAGGAAGTCGACTTTTACATCGGCTGTCATCTTGAGTTACCCTGGACTCCTGGAGATATTTACTCGAAATTCTGTTAAAAAACAAAACGCGTCTTTATATTTCACCTTCATGCTTGTTAAGACCTGGAATCTCAAGACGAGGCAGTATTAAAAAGAATACAGGTAAATTATTTACAAATTTTCTGAGTCGACAGCTCCAAAGGTATAAGACAGGCAACTAGACCCAAGTACTAATCTTGGCTTGTGCAGAATGTTGTGTCAGTGCTACCTCGTCAGGCCAGCTTGCAGGGTCCGCGGCGAACAATACAATGACTTCCAGGTCCTGTCCATGGTCTCCACGTCTAATGTAATTGCATCATGCAAATTGTGAAGCCTTTCGCCAAATATGGCCACATGAGCTAGCGTATCGTGACATGTTGCGTGGAGTTTTGCGTGTCGAGAAAACTGCTCAGGGCAAGTTGGTAGATGACTGCTGGTGAAAATCCAGAATGAGTATTGGGAGCTGGTACACCGTTGGCTGCGGAAGGAGGGCATGAGGGCACAGGAGATCTTGAGACCACAAGGAGACTTGAGGACATAGAATGACCGAACCTGAAGCATATTAGGGTGGTCGTTGGAAGATTGGCTCATCTTGATACCTTGCCTGAAGATATGGAGGTATTGTGATCGCTTGACGAGAACGGATGATGACATGGAAATAACCTGTCCCAAAAGGAAGAGTCTGATCATGATGAACAATAAAGGAGGATGTCCATGATGAGAAAGAGAAGAGAAGTTTGAAAAAAGATGGCCCAAGGGAAGATTAGATACCGCACTTCTACGATGACCCAGAAACCCGCCTCCTTGGCTATCCGTATTAGCTTCTTGGATCTATACACTTTCTGATGAAAGAATGTCCTTTATGTTCTTCATTTATGTTTGAGTTATGTTTCAGGCTGCATGCCAGCCATCTCATGCTGAAATCCTGAGTCCTTTCAGAGTCATATATAGATCTTGTACTAAATGAATTTCGTGATTGTTTGAGAGCTATTTGTACGAAGTATGTCCGGTGGTACTTCGGGTCCGATTCAGCCTTGACAACCCTTTCTGTGTTGAGGGGATATAGTAAGAGGATATCGAGCTTGAGTGATATATTCTCAGGAGCATGCTATGCATGGCTATGCAACTATGGTTCTAGGTGTTGGTCATGGTCATAGAGACTCTGGACTTAAAACGGAGCTTTTACTGTTAAATGGGTAGGAAAACTTAGGACATGTATCCTAAACGATAGAATTATTGAGATAAGTTAGCTTAGACTTAGGAGACTGGTTATTTGATAAATCTAAGCATTATATTTCAAATCACCAGTCTTTTTTTGCTTCCGGAGCTGGGGTATCTTTGTGGTATGAAATCCGAGGACTATACTCCATATGAAGTGTGCTTGACTCAGGTCCCATGTCGAAGCCTGGTTGGCTAGCTAATTTTAGAAATTGCATATTGGAATTATTTCCGAAGACTCCTTGCCAGTGTAGATTTGCGATAGTCAATGTATTGAGATAGAAATGCAGGCCGTTTTCAGCCATAACTTTATCGAAGTAGTAGTAATGAGTTTTACGGCGTGTCGTTTTCTGAAAGACGTTGACAGCTGAATCCATCTTTTCTGACGTCACTCTAAGTGGATATTATTACTTGACTGACCACTTTAGAGTTTGCAGGCTTTTAGCTAGAGTCGGGGAATCCAATTCAAGTATCTACGGTACAATGTATAAGTAGTCGAGAAAGCCCCTATGAGCATGGAAATGACAATGCCAATAAATTATCTTATGGAATTGATACAAGATGTTGTGATGAAAAGAAAAATGACGTTCTGGCTGCTTCTAAATCGTGGTCTCCACACGACCTGAAGGTCCAACCAACGTGGTGACATATATCTTCCACTATCCAATCGCCGACCGAGTAAATTTCTTTACCACACACAAATCAACCACCATAGACTTTATCAACTTTCATATCATCAAATACTACAATGTCACCTAAAGCCTTGACCCGAGAGACGACAACTGGCGCTGCGCTGGAGAAGGTACAGGGAGCCATCCAGAGCCCAACGACAGAGGTGATTGTCAAGCCGCCTTCTGACGTAAGTGAATTGGATACAAATAAACGCATGTCTACTAATAGAATCACAGCTCGAGGAACTCAAGGCTGATTGTGATTCATTCACTTTCACATCATTCACCACAGATGATGCTTTTGTGCTGGGTAACCTTCTCTACGCCCGTCTTTACCCATACGCTGTCAAAGGCAAGCCGACGGTGATCTCCATTGCCCTTGCAAACACCTCCCAGGTTGTCTTCCAAACCGTTACCGGACCTGGCACAGCTCCCGACAACGAGCAATGGGTTCGCCGTAAGAGGAACACTGTTCTCCGATTCGGCAATAGCACATGGTTCATGCACAACAAGTTCAATGGTGACGAGGTTGCTTTCGCTGCCAAATATGGCATTGCAGATTCAAACAAGGGTGACTACGCAATCCATGGCGGAGCTATCCCGATTCGTGTCCAGGGAGTTGAAGGGATCGTTGCTGTTGTCGTGGTGAGCGGTCTCAAGCAAGACGAGGACCATGGAGTTATTGCCGATGTTATCAAGAGTAATTGGAGCTGTTAGACAATTTCATAGGGTAGTCAGGCACAAATCTGTCAAGGATGCTCAAGGTATCCCTGACGCAGCGGCCGACCGGATTGCCCACTACGGAGTGCCCGTTCCCGCTATATATGCACCAAAACAAATAAAGTTTATGCAGCTAATGAAACCGAAATCCACACTAGCGTGCCGAGACAAACTAAGTTAATCACTCCATGCATGCCGAGCATTGGATTCAATAGTCTATCACATCTTTATCCATACCTAGAGTAGACACAACTAACTCTACGGCGACCATGAACACGACGAAATGGAGGATCTCAAAGGCTTGTCAAGAATGTCGCGCCAAGAAGATCAAGTGCAATGGGGAGACCCCCTGTCAAAACTGCAGCATGAGAAATCTCAGTTGCGTCTATCGCGAAAAGGCCCGTAATCGGACACGCAAGGTCAAACCGCGAACTGCAGCTTATGAGACTATAATGTCTCACGATGCCATGGAGAGCACGTCTCTGGAACCCTCCGATGAGGGAACTGTGCCGCCTACGCCAAATGCCGACGACACCGCATCTGTCGGACCTACAGGATCAGTGATGGACAGCGAACGCAGTTTGACACATAATAGTGTTGCTGCGACACACCGCGCATCACCGTCTTGTTTCCTCCAGCTCTACTATGGCCCCTCATCGAATTTTGCCCTACTCAACTCGATCTATCACCAAATAGCAGGGACATGCCCAAATGATCCTCCGTCACGCTCTGGAATTGTCGAAGAAGTTGGTCCCGGTCTAGACCTATTCAGTCATCGGAGACTATTCTTTGGGGATTTGGCTGACAACCAGCGGCCATCATCAGTACCAGACGACTGCTCGGCTATGCTGATTGACCCAGATACTGCTCACCGGCTACTCGAGAGATATCTTCTGACCTATTGGCATGGTCTTCCCATCATGAGTAAAGACCATTACCGCCGTCGCTTAAGTGCCCTATATCAGCCGCCAGGTATCTTTGATTATGATGCACCCGAGACCATCATCATCATGCTGGCTGTAGGACTGGGGGCTTCAATGACAGGCGAAGAAGCCATTGCAGACTTTCTTTTTCAGAAAACCAAACAAGGAGTTGCCAAATTGGATGAGGTTGTAAACATGCAGATGGTTCAGATACATCTCTTAATGATAAGTCGTACCTCCTGAACTTTGCTCTCATATAAGCTTACACAATATCACGCTCACTTCCAATCTGAGAGAGCAAGGCCAAACTCAGGATTCTTGCATGTCGGAACTGCCTGCAGAAAAGCAGTAGCGGCTGGTCTACATAAGGATGGTTGCTCACGTCCAGGATACACTGAAGATGATACCAATCAGCGAAGAATAACATTCTGGAGTTTATTCTTCTGGGAAACGTATGTTTAGTAATTATCCACTCTGACCACTGCTGACATGATACAGATGGCAATGCTTTGTACTTGGCCGACCTAGCTCACTTCCTGACCCTGGTTCGATCATACCACTACCAAAAGGCCAAAAACTACTCAAGTCTTTGGTTACCTTATCACGTATCATGGACAAGTGCGTGAAAAAAATATATAGTCCACGGCATGACTCCCTGTTGCCAGTCTGGAATGCAGCCATCGAGATCCGCCGCGAACTACATCAGTTTGCGGAGCAACAACTCAAGGATATGAAGTTTGGTCTTGTTGGAGACCCCAGCACAGGGGAGCTCGGCGTGTGCCAAGCTATGGTTTCAACAAGTAAGCCAACACAATTAATCTCCTGAACCACACTAATTGAGATAGTGTACCATCATACACTCCTATTAACATTCCGCCCCTTTCTCATCTTAAGAGCAAAACTGAATCACGACCGTGCTGCTGCTACTTCGGCAGAGAATCTACAGATGCCTCCGCCTTGGCTCGATAGCGCTTGCGAGTATTGCTTAGAAGCAGCGAGGAATTCTGTTGGGTTCTTAACGGGCTCATGTGCCACTAATATTCTTTGTCGTGTACGCTTATCTCCCCTGACCCAGAGTCGGAGCCGGCTAACTGAAATCAGGATATAAAGTATCATGGCTTTTTTATGGAGGGAGCATGCTATGCTTTGGCTTTCGATATGCTTCAGGAAAAGAAGACAGCCCACCGCAATCTGCCCTGGATTCACTCTGGCCTACGATGCCTTCGCTCCATGATGGGATCAGCAGGAATAAACGCTGGTCAGCTTCCAATAACAATCGCCTCAATAGAGCAGATGGTCCGATCTGCCGGATTCGAACTGAAAGACCCAGTAGACACGAACCAGCAGAAGCAGCCCCCGCAGTCCACGCTCCCTGGATCACCAGCACCTGTCTCTGTTGCAGGTGGTATGAGGAGCGAGCCTGCGTTCACCTTCCCTTCCATGCCATTCGGATTTGGTGTCACTGGTCAGATGAATGGGAGCTCGAACTCTCCTGCTGGCGCTGCATCGGAAGAGATGGCAGACTTCACAGCTGCTGATGTTGGATGGGATATTGATTTTGGGACCATGAATATGGAGGCATTTCTGTCTCTCGACTCGGCAGAGGCTTTCAACTTTGCTCCATGAGTACACAACTACATTCCTGTATTTTATTTAATTTGGTTGGCTTTTTGCTTATGCCAGTCCTTGGGGCGTTTTTAGACGCATTGTCGCTGCAAGAAGCGCTGGAAGTTGAAGCTGCATTGGGATGGTCGGGACCACTACATAGATGGATAATGACAGGGAGGTTGCTGACAGGAAGGATGGCGAGCATGGTTGAGGAGCATTGAATTTCTTCAGATATACCACTAACTACGATGTACCCTTGACTTATGAGAAAGGGCAACGATTCTTGACAATATTACTCGCATAAGACTATTAGGCTATCACACTGTTCCTCGCTTTAACTTGTTACTCATTCTGAAGTGCCAAAATAGCAGACAAGCCTCCAGTGAAGGCCAGAAGTCCCCGAACGATATTCATCCATCTCCATTTCTTCAACAAAGCCACAACTTCATCACGGCCAACTTTCTCCTGCTCAACGCTACTAGCAGCAATGTCGTTGAGTCGATTGTTCGTGGCCATCATCCCAAACACCGTCCAGGGCAACTGAGACACTGTAGCTACTGCAGCAACTGCCCAGAGTGTACGTTGAGCCGGGACAAGATAAGCGACTATTCCAGAAGATGCACCTGAGAGTAGAGAGAGTGGAACAAGAGTCACCGCCCCGCGAGTATAGAAGTCCTTGAAGAAGGGTGTATTGATGGAGGTAGGTTGGTTGTAGAGAAGAGGAACTGTGAGGTGTGAAGAGCCAAGGTTTACGCCCGCGAGGACAAGGCTCGAGGCAAGGCCAAATATTTGAAAGGTTCGTACAATAGAGTCCATTTCGATTGTTTGCTATGAGTTATTTTAGAAAGTGAGTCTTATCTCCGGAGTTGAAGTCAGGAGATATCAAGTCGCGTTGGCTAGTCTGATATGTAAGACCGGCCTCGTTAGGTGCATGTGGCTTGCTGCAATATCCGTCATGGACTTGGAGACGATGTCTCAGAACCACTCCATCTATATCCGTGATAATGCCATCGATCATATGATAACGGCTTCATCGGAAAGTTTGACTTTGACTGACAATGAGGAGTTAATGTAACCACATCATTATGATGAAAACTCAAATTCATCGTATTCGGTTTGTCGTGAGTTTGAAGAGCAACATGATGAATCAACGAATATATGTACCCAGGCATGATGCAGAAACCAGAGCCTAGCAGTAGGAGATATCACCTTGTACCAATTACAAAAATTTCAACACCTCGATGTCTCCTACTAGCCTATTAGACAGCTCCTAACCCGAGATCTAGTATGAGGATGCTGATCCCGTCTAGCGCTTATGCAGCGACGCTAAGATTTCGACTTAGTTGGGATAATTCCACTTGATGCAACCAATCATGTAAACTCTATTTCCCCTAATTTCAGTCAAGCGAACATGGTGTCAGCCTCCTGAACATTCTAAAGAGAGAGCTTCCCCTCATTGAAACTGCTCAAACTTGCTGTTGAGATAATGGAGCTGTCTTCGCTTTACCAGACCGCCTCGGCAACGTTTGGCTCTTTGCCAGTGGCCTATAAGGTCTTATGTACTGTCCTAGTGATTTTTGCTTTTAGCAAAGCATTTTCTGGGGCGGAGAGGAAGGGGTGTAAGAAGAATCTGCCGAAATATGCTCCCATCGAATTGGCGATTGCGAGTTATATCCTCAGTGGAGATGGTATAAGTCGACGAATCTTGTAATACGCATTCTCTTTAGCAATAGGAACTTGGCTAATTGTGATATAGTTCAGCTTTAAGCCGCAATGGAGGATCCCTGTTCGGTCTTACTTCAGGACATCAGATCTTTGTCGACTTGCCTGGCGTAGAACGTCTATTAGCCCAATCTCATCACACTTTCAACTCTGACCCAGCACAGTACTCACTCTGTACCCTTGTCTTTGGCAGCACTGATACCCCAGAGCTAAGAGCTAAATTCGACACGTCACTGAAGGATCTTGTTCCTCCTCTTGAGCGAACTTTTCTGAACGATGCCGCTTCTACAGCCAATGTTGAAAAGTCCCGCGTTGCAGAACGAGGCGCTTCACTTGTCACATTCTCATCTAATCCTAGGGACATGGCACGATGGGAGCTTTCAGCTGGAATCAAGGTTCTTCAGCCAGAGACATCTGATAGTCCGGGGAAAGTTGAAGCAAACCTACAGAGTTTGACTCGAGATTTTGGAGCATGCATGTCTGTCCCTCTCATCTACGGCCAAGATATACTCGATCGGAATCCTCGGCTGTTAGATGACTTCTGGACCTTTGATAATGATCTATTTCCACTACTCATGGTCGGCGTTCCCAAGTGGGCTCCATTCAGAATGATGCAAGACGGCCTCAAGGCCAGAGGCAGAATAATCGATAGTCTGGAGGCAGTGTACAGACGGGTCGACCAATATGAGAAAGGAGAGCCAGTTGATTTTAGTGCCGACATGTCGGATGTTAGTATGATGCTACGAGAACGAAACAAGATCTACAACAGAGACGGGTGGACATTTCCTGAACGTGCTGCAGCGGATCTTGGTACTTTCTGGGGTCTCAACGCCAACGCCCAGCCTGTGTTGTTCTGGTTCTTGCTTTACGTCTATTCGACCCCAGGCTTGCTTCAACGAATCAGAGACGAGATCTGCCCCTATATCGCTTTATCAGATGGTGACAAACCAGAGATCAAGTCAATGGACTTTCCGAGTCTGTTCCGGAAGTGTCAGCTCTTCAAGGCTTGCATCTTTGAGACATATCGCTTGGTCAACGAGCCAACATCGATCCGCTATGTCACTCAACCCGTCAGTCTCAACGATGGCAATCACAAACACGATCTTCAAGAAGGAACATACATCAGTGTTCCTCTCGCGCTGAAGAACAAGAACCCTTCGATATATGAGGATCCTGACACTTTCATCCCTGATCGTTTCCTCGAAACAGACCCTGAAACGGGAAAGGCCACGGCACGATACGGAAAGTTGAAGCCCTGGGGTCTTGGAGCTGCTATGTGCAAAGGTCGAACATTTGCAGAGAAAGAGATAATTTCTCTTGGATCAGCTGTTGTCAGTCTCTGGGATATAAGCCCTGTGGAGAGAGAGTGGAAGTTGCCTGCTATGATCCCAGGAACTGGAGTCAAGAGACCGGTCAATGACATACGTGTGGTTATAAGTCGCAGAAGCCATTTTAAGTCATAAAGTCATGCGTGAAGCCGAGAATGTTCGATTTGGCCCTTCAGATAAATCACATGGAAGATATGTTGGCGAGGAGGCGGGTGGTACTCACTCCTGGCAAACTCCATATGTTTAGGTATAAAATGAAAGCTTTTAGTCAAAGATCATATTATATATACGAATTATGGTACACCTTTGTCACAGGTATGATTATACTGTGGCACAAAACGCAATAAATGTGTAGTAGTATGATCAAGAGTTCACATAATCCAAATTCAATATTCATTAACGGTCATAATTCATACTGTCGTGATATCTAAAAAAAGACTCCTGCCAATATAAACTTCTCTTCCAAACGCCATACTTCATTACTCTTCGTCATCGTCATCTTCATCTTCGTCTTCGTCATCTTCCAAGGTAAAGCACGCCACCTCCTTGGAAAGGAGCAAGTTTTCGACCTTTTTGAAGATGGCCCTTCTCTTTTTCTCGAACTTCTCGCAAGCTTGTTGCATTTCTTGCTGCTCACATGCCCAGAGTTCCAAGCGTGTCATGGAGGTCTCTTGGCTAGCTGTGGCCAGTCCCTGTTCGATGTTCTTCTTGCAGTCCTCAAGCTTTTGGACTTGGGTCTCCGCAGAAGATCGGATCTCCCGGAGGGTATCCAAGGCTTTTGGGACATCGAGGCAAATGCAGAAGTTGATGGCATGAGTCATCAACAGGAATAGGTGGTCCACCGTGATGGGTTGTCGGTGAACAGCAATGTTGCGAATTTGCTTGGCTGAGTAGAGAAAAGATGTGAGGACAAGTCCACTTCCTTGGCAACGGTCGAGCTGTTGGAGGACTTCCCAGTGCTTCTTAAAGTGGTATGTCCAAGCATTTAGCTCTCCTGCTTCTGGGCATGACCACTTCGTCTCTTCGAGGATGACTGGCATAGCCTCTTGGGCGAAACGAAAGCAGGCATGTTCCATGATAGCCTGGATCCGTGTGAGGAGGAGGGTCTGTGTGCGGATTGGAACATAGACGTGAAGTCCAGGGGCTTTGACTGGCAGAACGTTCACGACTGATGCGTCTGACCTTGACGTGTCTGAAGGCGACGAGACACTGGATGTACCACCACTCTCAGAGGTTGCACAACTGGTTGACCCAGAAGCTGGAAGAGTGTTGACGCGGTGGTATAGCGCAGTGAAATCGCTCCATGAGACTTTATTCTTGAGACCTCGAGGTCTCAAAAACCCACACTCTCCCTTGCGGGTTGTGTTGAGGGGGTTCTTCGTCTGCATCATCTTGACTGATCGAGGATGGAAGCCGTAGACCAAAAAAATAGGATATTTGTGAAGGGTTTTGGTCTTAAGAGGAGAGTAGTGATAGGCTGGTATATGACAATACCGTAAAGTGTGCGGAAGAAGTAGTGTAGTGATAGACTGGTATGTGGCAATACCGTAAAGAGTGCTGAAGAATAAGAGTAATGGTAGACTGGTATATCGTAATGCGGTATAAAGCGAAGTGTGTGAGTGTCTTGTCGTGATCGATGAAAATGTGAGTGAAGCTTGACGAATGCTGTAAGAAGAAGTATAATGAGAATATTAAGGAGAGAAGCTGACTTGAGAAAAAGAATGAGGGGGACGCTACTTTTATAGACAGCATCTTGTTATACTTCGACGAGAGTTTATAATCGTGTCTCGTTTGCCGTGCACATAAACTCTTCAGTCTGAAAGCATACGATTGTACTAAAGTATTTTTCTGAGTCTCTATGGTACGCACAACGTAAAGGAAACTCTAGAGTGATCATGATTACAGACTCTCAGTGTTTCCCATCGACCCATGGCTTAGGGGAATAATGCTTTTCTCCTATCCGGTCAACCCCTTTTATACTACCACGATTAGGTCAATACATTCTTTCTTCATAGAGACGAAGAGATGGAAACACCTCTTGTATCTATAGACAGATCATAATGGTTTCTTGTCTTTACTACTTCTTTGTGGAACACGATTGTGAAGTTGTTGCTAAACTTCGAGTAGACGAAAGCAAGTGGTTGAGTCACATCTAGCAAGGTTCAATGTGAGCTCTCTACGAACTCGCTCAGCGCACGTAATTAGTTATACTTCACTCAAGTGAACCGCCGATCCTTCATATGGACCAATCCAAATTTCCACTGCAGTGAGTTATTCACAAAATTTACAACACTAATTAGACTTTGTAAGATCGATTCACGCACTCCTTATTTGACTTTCTCATATTCCCAAGGACCTATAAATCGCAAGGCAGTTGAGGAAGCTTAATCTTATCCACACCATAATACAACATTCTCAATGGGCTCAATACCAGGGGGTATAATCATTGATCATTGTAGGTCTATCATGCTTCTCGTTTATACTTTTGCGCTACCCTATACACCGCACCCCAAAGTTGCCGCATCCTGGGTGTCAAACTTCAAATAACCTCCCGTCTATTCCACTCTAATTGGTCTTCTCACTGTAGACAAAGGCATCAAGCTCCTGGTACGTCTTCTCCAAATCATCGTTGACGAGAATCTTGTCAAACTCGGCATTCTTGGCCCACGCAAGCTCATCCTGTGCACGTGTCAAGCGTTGTTGGATGCTCTCCTCGGTCTCGGTGCCACGGCCGCGCAGTCGCTTCTCGAGCTCTTCGGTGTCAGGGGGCGAGACAAATACGTAGCGTGCGTCGATGGAAGAGGCCTTGACTTGCTTGACGCCCTCCATTTCGATGTCCAGAACAACAACCTTGCCCTTGGCTGTCTGCTCCTCGATGGTCGCCTTGCTCGTTCCGTAGAGGTTGCTTCCAAATTGAGCACTGTAGGTACCCAGTATTAGTAAATGTGCTGGTTGTTGGTGCGCTTGACTTACTGCTCGACAAAGCCGTCTTTGGCGATCAAATCCCGAAACGCATCCTTGGTGACAAAGTGGTACTCAACGCCATCGGTCTCACCCTCACGAGGGTTGCGAGTAGTATGCGACACAGAAAGAGTAAAGGTATCGGGGTGACGGCTGAAGAGCATCTTGATCAGCGTGCCCTTTCCGACACCGCTAGGTCCAGAGATGACGAGGGGTCGACGGTCCGAAGGAGAAGCCATTGCGAAGGAGCGTCTAGAGCAAATCGGTAAATAAACGTAACGTGAAGAGGTGCGTTGGAGGTGCTTACTTTGGAACTTGCGAGAAGGGTTTTGTACTGGGTATTAACAAGTTTGAGTTGCGCTTCGCATAACCTAGAAACCACCGCATCGTGCCCTGGGAAAATGCTAACGAATGGGGTGCTAATAATGTTGGAGAGCTAGGCACTGTGGGGGAACTCATCCAATCACGTGGCGGTAGGTGGCTTACATCTTCACGGTGAGAGACTCATCCCAGAACTGGAGTATAAAAATGAGTAAGGTACGGAGCAGTTAGGTACAGAATATGGAGGCACCGACATTCAGGATGACTGGTTTTAAAGTCGGATGATCAGGTATTCCCCGAACCCCAAGCGCTGCTGTAAACCGAGTGAAAAACGCTATGATCTATTTATGTTTTCGCTGTGGTCTATCATTACGACTATTCCTTTAAGCCCTATCGTTACACATTACTTTATCCATGTCTATATCAATGCTCCCATCCACCTCATGCAAGTTATGTCATCAGCTCAGTCGTGGCTCCTTCAATCAACCCGTTGCTTATTCTGGGAAGATCCCCTTTCGAGCTCAGGAGTCGGCACCTGGCGACTCCGTTCTTCTTCTTCGGGGTCAAGTGCTTCAACAGTTGTATCGCTCCGGATACGGAATCGTCTTCCTCGCCAGTTCACAGTGTTTCCAAAGATGACCGCGTATGCCCAGATCGGTAGAGCTAGAGCTTCACGGAAAAACCAGGCTGCTAAAAACTCCGAGAATTTGCGACTTTTGATTCCCTCTCGATTTATGGAACCTCTGGCGAAACGAGGTGTGTCTTCATCAAGCTCCATAGTGACGCCAGAGTGTAAATGCCGGTAGCCTAAAAAGTCGACAACCATCCAAACAGTGATCGTCGTGAGCCAAGTAATTACCCTAGCAGTCCAGGTTGGAGGAATGCTATATATCTGCAGGGTGGTGATTGCAAAGGTGAAATACGTGGCAAACACGAAAGATTCCGTGAATGGTTCAATCATTGTAGCTGGGAGAACCGTGAACTTTCTCGCTCTGAGCCATCGAGAGCGGCGTGCTGTATATGCATTTACAGACATGTCAGACATCGGCTGAACAGCAATGTCACCCCAGACTAACCCATGGTTCCTGTATCCGTCAAATTTAGCATTCCAGAGGACATCGCCGATCATATGATCTTCGCAGATGTTGTGCGAAAAGTAATCCACGCCCGTAGGGAGGCCCTTGCCCTTGGGTATCTTAGGGTTTAGTGAAGGGTTGGTCGCGTGATCGAGCTGAGATTTGCAGAACATGGTGCTTTTGCCCACAGCGCAAGGGGCTAGACCAGAAGTGTTGATAGCACTGTAGAATTTGGCATGCGACGTTGCCATGAACATCTCGTCCAGTCTTCCACCGCCCTGAGCCCAAACCTTGGGGTTACAATGAGAACCCCCTTCGCCTATGTGACTAGAGTCATCGTCTTCAACAGAGGAAGCAGCTAACAGCGGCTGACCATCTGCTGCAATCGGTGTGGAATAGTCGATCAAGTCAATAACAATGGGAAGTTGATGAACAAATTTGTAGGGCATGTTATCACCACCAACATGGTGGCCCTGAAGTTTAGTAACCATGCGCCCCAAGACTCCCTTGGCCATCCAGACGTTGCAATCCACAATCCACACGATATCCCCTATGGCCTCTCGGTATGCTCGGCTGATATTGCGAATTTTTGGATTCGGTCCCATATTCGGCGTCGTGCGCAATGCAAGGTCGTCTACCTCAAGCAGGATGCGCGCATCAATATCGGGAAAGTCCTCAAGGACCTTCTGGAGGATCGGGTACGCCGGATCGGTGTCATTTTCGAGACAGAGACGAATGGAAATCTTGTTTTGGGGGTAGTTCTGGCGAAACGATGCGGCGATACAATCGTAGAGTCGAGGTTCGACGCCCTTAACGGGTCGAATTATGGTGACATGAGGAGTATCGTCGCCCAGGTTGGGTGAAGGAGCTGGCCGGCTAGCAAAGTTGCGAAAGCTTGAGGGCGTTAGGGAGAGCTCGTAGTGAGTGGCTCGGTGAGACTTACATAGCCCGGACGCCAATAGCGACAACAGTGAAAACAACGCCAGCTAAAAACAAGAAGACACCAGCAATGACCTCTTTCGACGACCACATTCTGGCCCTGATCGGTGAATGGAAATGAGCTTACTTAGATGCAAGCGGCGACGTATCTGTGTTCCCAGGAGAGAGAATAGTTTACCGCCTTCCCAATCCGGTCACCGCCTACCGAATTGGACTGTTGAAGGAGAAGTGGGAGGAAAAAGATCGAGGACCTCGATTCTAAATAGGTAATGGAAGAGCTAGGGGAAGAAAGAAAACTCGGGATCTTGATCCTAAATGACAAAAGATTCAAATAAATTATCGGAAGAAGTAAACCAATGCAGATCTGGGAGACATTGTGTGAACCTCATACTGGGTGTTTTTGGCATTTGAGGTTATGACAAAAGTGGAAGTTTTTATAATTACAGGTGTTTTATACTTCACAGACTTGTAAGCGGGCGCAAGGTGAGTAACTTTCCACTCTCCTAACGGTGCGCTGCTTGCCGTCCATTGGCAACTTCCGTCACCTTCTCTTCAAAATCCGTTATTTCCACCCTGAGATCAAAATCTCAGGGGGCACAGATGATAGCGCAAGCCAATAGACACAATCTCTTTCTCTACCTTACCTAAGAAAATGAACAACACTACTGCTTTCCTATTCTATAGCGATGCAATGCCCGAACTTTGGTCTTGAAGTGATGGCCTCTTCCCGGTAAGTCCGCGAGCATCAATTCACAGTAGTCATATGATTGGCAGTCTTGTGAGAGCGGTGCATAAGCCTCCTCGTTGAAACGTGGGCCTCCATCACGGCGGACCATTCATGGCACGCGCATCTCCGAAGCACATGCCATGCTTACCAGTTACAAGACGGTCCATGAATCATTAGCAGACCTTATTCCAATACGATTAAGAGATGTCTGAACTATGACATTCAGCATGAGCACCGCGATGAATCAAGCTTGAAAGAGAAGTACGATCGGAGACAGGAAAAACAAAAATCAGCTGGTAGCAATCACAAGTTGATCACAGGAGGAACTGATATGCGATTTAATCCAGCCTTATCTTCATATCATTTGGCTATTGTGAGTAGGCTAAGGGATACCCTCAATATCCGAAGGCTGGTGCATCCCAACAACCTGTGCTGCACCATCTATGGGTTTAGACCAAGCAGCTCGTCTCTCGATGAATTGTTCGACCTGAGGTCTCAATTTCGTATCTGCAAGGCTGAGATCATCAACAGTACCGGTCCTCAGAATCGTCAAGCCTGGAAATCGAGCGCCACGACGATACATGAGTGTGCCGCATGTCTTGCAAAAATAGTTGCTCATGGTCGCGTTGGCGCGAATGGTCTTCTCCTCACTAAAGGTTGAGAGATTGTCCTCACCACGGACGTGCTTGAGATATGTGTCGTCTACTGTGATGTTGGACTGATAGAAGGCTGAGCCGATCTTGCGACAGTCGATGCAATGGCAGACATGGCGGTTGAGAAGACCGGGCTTTTTCAGTGGCTATTCATCATTGTGTTAGGATCTTGAAGTTTTCGCTTCAGCTTATATCACCCAGGGAGACTTACAAGTACTAGCTGTACAGCTCCGCAGAAACAAGTGGCAGTTGCTTCGTCCTCAGTTGACCAGCCATCGCTCGAAAGGTGAACAATAGGGAAGCCTTGATCATCAAAAGAAGTCATCTTTGAGATAGCCCGTAAATGAATCTGAACTCCAAGAGATTGTGAGGGTAAATGAGAGACCGGTGCTTATATAAAATAGCCGATGTGCTGTGATATTGCGAGTGGTGCTTAGTGGCTTAGAGCAAAGTCAATGCAATCTTGAATTTGTCATGTTTCAATGTCACAGGAACTCCGGCCCTCTTTATAGCATCTTGCTGAATCTCCCTGGCACGGCTGCATGGTATTATCGAAGTGATGCATTTCTTATCATGTGTAGGATTATGGAGGTAACGTTATGACGCTATTTGTTCGGCGTTGGGGGATGCTGACAACTCAATCAAAGCTGATGAACGATAATACGGGATGGCCATTGGATCGCGCCATGTTGTCACCACCGGCCAATTTACGTTTGTCTTCCGAATAATTAGCACTCCAAATTTGACTATAATAGATTTGCTTTCTAATTAGCGAAAGATTTATAATATGCTGCAGAAGACTGTAGTAGATCTGTAGGATAGACAGGTGTGTTCCCAAAGCTCCTTCACTGGTCACCAGCTGACGTACCTAAGGTAGTCGCAATACGAACCTGCTGGGAGTGAGTCCTTCCAAAGAAAATCCCACCTCTTCTCTAAGTTAGAAGTTCTCGAGTTGTGTTCCCAGCAAATATGACTTTGGTTCGCCGTCTGACTCGCTGCCCTTCTTCTTTCAGCCTACCTGAGCTTTCTTGAAATCATAGGCCAACCCTCATACTGAATACCAGCCGGGCATTTGTAATCGTCACAGGGCTATTGGATGGCAGAGAATTCTCATCACTGTCCAACCGGCAGGCTCCTTTTGATGGCACTAGATTCCCGAAGCCGAATTAATAGGACACCTTTCACATTGAGTATGCTCTCCATATAGAAGCCAGAGCTTTTGAAGTTCTTTGCGGGTGTTAGATATACCATGGTGGACAACAACCGCATTGCATGGCAAGCTCATGGATGACATAGCCGGAGTCTGCACGAGCACGCAAGAACTGGAGCAGTTGAGTGCCGCAAAAAGAGACCACGAAATGCTCGTGTCGTCGCCTATGACTTTCTTCCACTAAGGTAATTTAGCGACAGGTAGTGTCAAAGCTGTCAAGAGAGTCCAGACAACCCAAGCACGCGGCAAAAGTTGGTTCGTCGAGAAGCTTGAAGGAAAGGTGGCGCTTTTCAGACTTGATGTATACCTGAGGTTGTTCTAGAACGATGCACACGATGCAAACGATCTTCTCGCTATGCTGTAGACATGGTGCATGTTAATATTATTGTGTTTTATCATGAAAGATGACTTGAGGTATAGGTAAGACATCGGGAAGGATCAAGACGAGTTCATTGAATCCTCATTGAGTCCCTCTTGCAATACCGATGGATTCTTGCCCAGGTCTGGAGGTCAAGAATCCAGGAACTGGGGAACTGGCAGGTCTGGTTTAACAAAGGGGACATCTCACTCGCGGTGGGAGACGTGGCAATTATTGGTACCTAGGGATTTGAATGAAGAGGCTTCTGAGCGGTGAGATACCACACGGAAAATGGCAATATAAAACAGCAGTTTGTCACCATGATCAGCTACACACTCCCAATAGTGGAGTTGTTTGTCAAATCTCCGGAGCGGAGCCAGTGAGCGAAATGGCCTTGCGCACAAGGCATCAAAGTGGGGAGCTCCAATTCCAAGAAAAAGCTCGACTTTTCTGCCCCCGTCAACTTTTTCCCGTCATCATCCTCACAAACACAACAACAAATTCTCTCAAAGCTCGTGGAAGCTTAAGGACCTCGGTCGGGCTTCGCACTTGAGCAATTAACATTGTTCAACTCGTTGAAGTTGAGCAGTGTGTTGCTGTGGATGGCCACGAGGTTAAATACCCAGCCAGCATCGTGCCTGGGTCACGTCCTAGATAGGTAGGTTTCTTTCTCATTTCTTCATTATGCTTCGTCCTCGAGATGCGATTGCGTTGCAACTTCTGCGCGCTTAGTCTCCGGGGTAGCGGAGCTTCACGTTGCGGTGATGACACCATATCAAAATGCTTAGAGAATCCATTCATTTGGTCTCCCATGAAGCTCTGATATTATAGACTACAACGGTATCTGAGCAACAAAAAAACATGATTCTTGAATGCATTCATCATCATTCTGAAAAACAAACTGACATCTGTCAAGACCAAGATGACCCCGGCGAGAAATGGCTGAGATTCAATCATCAAACACCGTCTCCGTTGGTACCCTGTCTACCACGGATTCCGCCGACAAGCGGCAATTCCAGCAGCGAGGGCCGCCATTGCATCAGATCTACGCCCTTCCGGCACCGATCCGAACATTCCCTTTGCCGGCCTTTTATCCTAACAACCCCATATCCTTCTTCCATGTCGCGTATGCGTGGTTAGGCCAACTGTGGTCTCCGCCCAAAGCGGAACCTTCGGTTGTGCATAATGGTGTATGGTCTGCTGCAACATCATCTGTCCACATCACGGATGATGTTTCTACCCGAGCTCTGTGGGAGCAAGGCTTCTACGGAAAGGGTAGTCTTAGTCGAAGTGAACCAGCTTGGCTAAAGCGTGAACAAGTTCGTCAAGGACTAGCTGATGCACACGTCAGCGAGATTATGACTGTGCAGAGAAGAGAAGAGCGTATGCGTGCCAAGTGGGAACGAGCACGTCTCGAACAAGAGGCGATCCGAGAAACCCGCCGCAAGGAAGCGGAAGAAGTCAAAGCGAGAGAGATTAAGGCACGAGAAGCCAAAGCCTTTGAAGCCAAGGAACGAGAGCTACGTGCCAGAGAGTCGAAAGACATCGCAGGGCCCAGATCCATCAAACCTCCTTCGCTGTCGGCTGCCCTTCCAACTTACGAGTCACCTGTCAGCCCTGCTGCCCTTTTGGCCCTGCCAAATTCACTGGTAGACATTGTTAAGCCAATGCCTATCAAGCCTGTCAACCTGCCTGTGTCCACCCCCACGCATGCTTCGCCTGTGTGCCCTGCAACTATTCTAGGCATGCCGAACTCTGCCGCAGAAATTGTCGAAGAGTCTGCCATCGAGACAGCTGAAGAGATTGATGGTCTTGGAATATCCAGACTCCATCCAACGGCGATGGGTTTGTCTGTGGATACCCTCCTCAATGGTCATGTTATGGAACCAGTTGCGAACGGAGTTCTTCACCATGCTGTGAATGGCACTTCCGTGGTTGCATCTTCGTCAGACGAAGAAGACAACACCAAGCCTAAGAAGCGACGTAAGAGTGTACGATTTTCGCCAACAGTGGAATCTACTACCTTTCACTTCGGAGATCCCCCTAGCCCTAAGCGTTCGACATCGAATGGCACAGCCAATGGCCTTGCCGATATTCGCGCCGCATCACCTGTGGCTTTGAACAGATCCAATGCGGATAACTCTTTGGAGCGCACTAGCAAGCCCGTGCTGAAGAATATGGAACACCTCCAGCTAACACCGGAGGAGGCTTTCTTTCTGAACTTCGGTTTGGGTGTTCTGACGGTCACCGATCCTGCCTCCGGTGCTCAGCTCTCGTCTTTGGATCTGTTAAGACTCTTCAGGCAACATTCTTACTTCCCACCTCGTGTTGAACCTGCGGATCCCGCGCTTCAGCCTGACGATAACTTCCTCATTCACTACGCAGTGTATCATTATTTCAGATCTCTTGGTTGGGTACCTCGTGCAGGCATCAAGTTTGGCGTGGACTGGCTGCTGTATGCCAAGGGCCCGGTCTTTGACCACGCCGAATTCGGTCTAATCGTTGTCCCATCTTACTCTGATGCCCTTTGGAAAGAGGCTGGAAAACAGGACCCTCAGAAGACATGGCAGTGGCTCCATGGCACGGTTCGTGTTCTGTCGCACGTCACCAAGAGTCTTGTTCTGGTATATGTTGATGTACCACCACCTTCGAAGTTTGAGAAGGCTTTGGAGCAGGGAGTCGCTGAAGCATTGAAGCTATACAAAGTCAGAGAAGTGATGGTGAAGCGATGGTCTGCCAATAGAAACAGAGGCTGATCGCTGGACGCTTCGCGATGAATTGGTGATATAACGGAAGTGTAATGGTATACTGGTGGATTAATGCTCTTGGGCACAGGAATAGGCTATCAGGCGTTCGCGATCTACTGTACACTATGTATTATGCCATCAAATCAATATCAATGCCCTCTTCGAGGGCTCATGAACATACAATATCTGAGACTCGATCATCTGCTCGTATTACGTAGTATGTGAAAATGTCAGCCTCGTTGGTGTCGCACCGCATCACCACATGAGGCCATTTTTGCTTCTGACTGAAGCCATCGCTGGGTCCAGCTCCAAACAACGCGGGGTTTAGAGCCGAGAAACCCCACATGAAGCAATGTCTCCCTTTTGGCCGAGGTACGAGGATGGCCGCCGTTGTTGTTATATAGATATAGATCCTTGCTCAGCTTCAATCTTGATTTGCCATATAGAGTTCTTTCGTTTCTTGATTGTACGTTTTGTTTGTTTTAGTAGAAGGTCGCTCTAGTTACCATGTTCCTTCAAAGGGTGGCAGCTTACAGCTGTAGAGCTCTTCCCCGTGGACTCTCATCAACTCGAGCAAGTGCTCAGAGGATCAGCCTCAAATCAACAAACTCACAATGTCTTGCCCATCGACGGACTCTCACGACGAAGAACTTTGGGATACCCCCGTTATTTGAGCCAACTATAACCCTCTCAGCTAAAGACAGCAATCTCACCATCTCCAGCGGAGACCGTTTCATCCAGATCCAAGATCAGAAGCATGGCGGCTGGACACGCCTTGATGCCACCATTCTTCGCGATAGCTGTACATGCACAACATGCGTCGATCCAGCCTCTGGCCAAAAGAGCTTTGCGACAACAGCAATTCCCTCCGACATCGCCATTGACAGCATCCACACGACTTCAACCGGCGTGCGCATCTCATTCAAGAACGACATGTACAAAGATCACGAGATGATTCTTCCTTGGAGTACTGTCGACAAAGCACTTGGCCATGCACCAGTTGAGAGGAT